TTGAGTTGTGCCTAGTCAAGCAAATATTAATATACAAGAGTACACAATGTGTGGACAGCCCATTGAGCGCACACTAGGTATGAACTGATACCAAGTACCGCACTCGGTACAAGTACTGATACTTTGAGCTCCAAGACTAAACTAGAGAAAAATTCAAAAGTTAGGAGGCAGCTGTCATTTGTAAGGAGCATACGGAGCTTCTGGGATTTCTACAAACCTGTTTTAATGTAATAAACTACAAGAGATGGCAAAAGTTAGACACTGGCTGTAATTTGTAAGGATCATTGGCTAGCTGGCTCCTGGGGTTTGTCCAGCCCTGATGTAAGGCAAGTATGAACTTCAAAAAATGATGCATAGATAATTCATAATAAGGGCTAGTTCAGCACATGTGTATTATGCATGTTGTACAGTACATACATACACTCACATTGCATTAAACAGACTTTACTGCACCATCTGGAACTAATGCTGCCGTCTCTGGTCATATGAATCGCTCACCAAGATGAAATCGATGAATAGTCACTCGCACTCCTCCAATTTCATACCAAGCCAATTCCTTTATTGGCTATAGTAGTGTCACAATCATGGCGATGTTTCAGAACCAATTGGTTCCTTCTTCAGGCAAACAAAGTGTTATGTTTATGTCTGAAATCTAGTAAGAAACACAGCGCTGAGTAGGAATAAATGCCTAATAAATACTTTAAACAAATTTGTAAATATAAATCAATGGTGAAATAAATAAGTGATAATATACATAAAAAAATTAAAAGTAAATATAAAGGCTAAATAAGAGTTTTTTTACCTCAATATAGTACAAAAATGTTCTCAAACCTGCGTTAAAAAAAAAGGTAAAAACCCCAGATGAACAGTTCGTGTAATAAGTGTCACAATAATAAGCCATTTATTAGGTATTTATTCCTATGCAGCGCTGTGTTTCTTACTAGATTTCAGGTTTTATCTTTTCATAGCAGTTTTTTAGTGACTTAATTTATAGTTTTTCCTGAGCGCTGAATTTTTGTGAATATTATGTTTATGTTTGCCTGAAGGAACCAATTGGTTCCTAAATGTCGCCATGATTGTGACACTACTATAGACAATAAAGGAATTGGCTTGGTATGAAATTGGAGGAGTGCGAGTGACTATTCATCGATTTCATGTTACTGGCGGAGGCATCTGCAGTTACTACGGCACCCACCCGACTTATGGGCTTGTTTCCGGTCAGGAGTGCGATGGGACATATCTTGGTATGAATTTTGCTTACCAAGATTTCACTATCTTTCTTCTGCAACGTTTATAACAGACTAAGCGTATGTAACCCTAAAATATAAAACTTTAGCACCGCATTCCTGTGTCCCATAGAACTGATGTAGCCTTTTATTTATACATGATCTAAAATCTACATAAAAAACCTGGGGATCCTGCCAGTCCCCTCCTTAATGCATTACTTCCTGACCACAAAAGCAGATCTGTGTTCAGGGCTTGTTCACACCATGTCCGGACCTTGTCCAAACCAGAACAGTTTGTTCCTGAACCAAAAAATCATTCCAATGTATCCATATGGTATTTCTGTGCTCTGTTCACACCAGCGCAGTCCGTTCCAGACCAGACGAATAAAAAATTATCCTTGTCTCATTTTCTCTGGTATGGAATGCACTGGAACGCATGGAAACATATTAAAAATGCATGCAAACACACTGGAACTCATTGGACTGCACCTGAAAAAACAAAAAAAGCAGCAAAAACGTTCTGCACTGTCTTTGCAGATCTGCTCCAGATCTGGTCCGGACATGGTGTGAACATAGCCTCAAGTGGTCAGTCTACTTCTTCCCATTGGACTAACAGAATGTGTCTGCAGTCCTGTAGGCAGCCTGTGACACTCCCCAAGCCCAGACACACCATTAGAATATCCTGTCGTGCACATGCATAGTTTCTTCACATAGTTCCCATCTCCTTCTTCAGCTGTGCATCCTGCACACTCACTGTTCGGGACCCACAACCTGCACTAGCTGATGGGCCGTTCGCAGTCCCATGACAGCTCTGCTGTATGCCAGAGACTAGCCTGATCATGCTGTGAAATGCCATAGATCGGGGTGGGGAACCTCCAGCTGTGGTGAAACTACAAATCCCATGCGGCACTGTAAGATTCTCACAGCCACGCCTCCCAGAGACCGATGCATCATGGGATTTGTAGTTTCACCACAGCTGGAGGTTCCCCACCCCTGCCGTAGATGGTTACAGTGTCAGCATAACTTATTTTTCTTAAATTAAATTATTTAAGTCATTTATCTTAATCCTATTTAAATTAATAAATTTAACAAACAAGTTACTAACGGGCCGCACGTGATCCACTAAACCCTAGATAATAAAGCTACAGTTTAAAAAAAAAAAATGTAATTAAAATTAATCTTATTTAATCTCTAATATACATTAAAAATAAACAAATAAATAGGGTGGAATAAAATTTATATACCCCAGTGGTTGACGGAAACCGGGATACAACAAAGACTTAAAATGCTCAATGCAAACAAAGCAGTGGGTCCGGATAACCTGCACCCCAAGGTACTTAAGGAACTAAGCCATTTTATATCTAGACCTTTATTCCTCATTTTTATTTTGGATGATTTTTTAAGGGACCGCAATATACAGGGGTACAGGTACTCCTAGAATGAGATCCTAATAGGTTGGACTTGATGGACTAATGTCTTTATTCAACCTCAAATACTATGTAACAGAGCAGCTGATTGTCATTGGACAGAAGTATCCGCCCCAACGCTCAGAGATTGAGAAGGTGGAGGGGTACAGCAGTCGTACAACCGCCTCTAGAAACCATAATAAAAGGGATGTTTGAGGTTCTTTCCTTATTTTCTTTTATATAGCATGTTAAATACATTTCTCACAAATGTTAATATAATAAAGGTAGAGGGTTCACACCTACTTTAATGTGACAAAGGTAAATACAAATGAACGTTCTCTACACCATTTGTCTTGCACTAGTACAGTTTAGAAAGATTTATATTGTATGTAACAAATAATACAAAGATCCATTGTTGTCCTGAGCAAAGCTTTTGTCCAAAATGAGGACAGTCAGCCTAATGTTCAAAAGCTTTGTTTATTTCTGGTTTTAAAGATCACTGCAGAGGTTAGGGGGACATATGCCATGCAGTAAACTGAAAGGTTTCCATGTAAACCATAGAAAAGAAAACATGGACACCAGGGAGAACTGATCATTTTACCCATGAGGATAATACTAGATAATAGGACAGGTCTATCCAACAGCCACGTGCCACATTCAGCACAACCATGAAAACAACAGAAACACCTCCCAAGTAATCAGATCTGCGTTTACTACAGGTAGGTCTAGAAGATAAGGACGTTTTGAGGTGGTTTTTTAAAGCCAATTCACATTTCACACAGCCACTGCACTTTTGACTGCTTGATCAGACAGATGAACCATACTGTCATAATTCATTTGTAGAATCGCAGGATTATACAATAAATCAAAAGGTCGAGTGCAAGAATCTCAAGCAGGCAATCAATCAGACTTCAATAGAAAGCTCCATACTGGTTTTTAGAAGATTCTATTTTGCCCTTTGCTTGCCAGCTAGTGTACCCCGCTTCACTAAAACAGACAGAACATGCTACTATGGTAACCTCATCAATCCTCAGGCGTAAAAGGAAAGCCACTTTGGGGACCTTAACTATCTGCATTTGACAAGTCCTTCAGGCGGCTAGAGGTCTACAAATTAGATTATACATTTTGTTTTAAAACCCTCCCAAACACCAAAGCCATACGTTCTTCATAAGTCCTCTCTCTCTCTCTCTCCATACACCTGAGCCATAAGTCCTCTCTCTCCATAAGTTCTCTCTCTCAATACACCTGAGCCATAAGTCCTCTCTCTCCATACACCTGAGCCATAAGTACTCTCTCTCTCTCTCTCCATACACCTGAGCCACAGGTTCTGTCTCTCTCTCTCTCCATACACCTGAGCCATAAGTCCTCTATCTCCATACACCTGAGCCATAAGTCCCCTCTCTCTCTCTCTCCATACACCTGAGCCATAAGTCCTCTCTCTCTCTCTCCATACACCTGAGCCATAAGTCCTCTCTCTCCATAAACCTGAGCCACAAGTCCTCTCTCTCTCCATACACCTGAGCCATAAGTCCTCTCTCTCTCTGCATACACCTGAGCTATAAGTCCCCTCTCTCTCTCGCCATACACCTGAGCCATAAGTCCCCTCTCTCGCCATACACCTGAGCCATAAGTCCTCTCTCTCTCTCCATACACCTGAGCCATAAGTCCTCTCTCTCTATACACCTGAGCCACAGGTTCTCTCTCTCTCTCCATACACCTGAGCCATAAGTCCTCTCTCTCTCTGCATACACCTGAGCTATAAGTCCCCTCTCTCTCTGCATACACCTGAGCTATAAGTCCCCTCTCTATCTCACCATACACCTGAGCCATAAGTCCCCTCTCTCTCTCTCTCCATACACCTGAGCCATACGTCCTCTCTCTCCATACACCGGAGCCATAAGTCCTCTCTCTCTCCATACACCGGAGCCATAAGTCCTCTCTCTCTCTCTCCATACACCTGAGGCATAAGTCCTCTCTCTCTCCATACACCTGAGCCATAAGTCCTCTCTCCCCATACACCTGAGCCATAAGTCCTCTCTCCCCATACACCTGAGCCATAAGTCCTCTCTCCCCATACACCCGCCTCATAAGTCCTCTCTCTCCATACACCCGACCCATAAGTCCTCTCTCTCTCCATACACCCGACCCATAAGTCCTCCTTCTCTCCATACACCCGAGCCATTAGTTCCCTCTCTCCATACAGCTGAGCCAGCACTGTCCATACACACAGGTTATCATAGGCTGGCACACACACTGCTGTCACACCCTGTACACACAATGTAAATATACGTACGCACAGCCATGTCTGTGGCCCACCCGCCCCCTACCACACATGCTTCCCGCTTCACCCACATCGTGCGGCTCTTACCGGCCACCGGGCAGAGGAAAGAGACAAGCCGCTGAGAGCCGGCCAAAGCCCCGGCCTTTAGTAAGACAGCCATCCGGCCGGCCTTGGACACACAGTGAGGAGGAGAGAAGCCTGAAGCTCCGCCCCCCGAATGACAGGCTGTGGAAGGAGGGGACACTCAACCAAGGAGACACACCAACATCGTACGGCTGTGTGGGGAGCCCGCCTGACGCGCTGAGGGCAGGTGTTACCTTCCGAGGAGTGTCTGTGCTGTATACTGTAGCGGAGTTGATGTCATCCATCCAAGTTGCTGGCTCAGCCTTTGCCTGCTCATAGATTATATCACGATTCATACTGACGTATAAAAGAATCTTGTCTTCCATAATAGAAGCTTTTTCACCCCAGGACTGAAGAAATGACAGGAACTGGTCTGTTGCCGTGGGCGATGACTTTCACCTGTATGCTTTATATACATCACCCTCTCCATAACTATCGATATGTCATGATTGCATGGAGGTCAACAGTTGTAAGAAGTGTTTGGGCAGGCGTACAAATGTGTACAGCGATCCACCGCAGTCGTTTCTGGGGGTAGCATTGAAGCTTTAATGCCCCCTCCCCAGCGCCATAGTTTTCTTGTGCTCCCAGGACAGGGGTGCAATTTATCTAAACTGGAGCAGACACAATCTGCTGAATCTGTGCATGGAACCAATCAGCTTCTCTCTTTCATTTTCAAACCTTAATTGAACAGACTTAAGAGAGAAGCTGATTGGTTGCCATAGGCAACTGCTTCAGTTTCTTCAGCTCCAGTTTTGATAAATCCCCCCCTTTGTTCTTCCGAGTATGAAAGTGTTACTAGACCCACCAAAGCAGTTTTAAAGTCTGAAAACTTGTTTACAATAATTAATCCATATTTACACAATCATTTTTCAGAGCAGCTCCAACTCCAGCTTGACTTCCCTGAACTTCCTGTCCAGTACAAGATCACAAGGAACAGAGCAGTCTCCAGAAGCCATACTAGCATGGAGAAGGGAAGTATCTTGCCTTGCTTGTGCCTGTGTGTTTATGGAGACACACACAGCTTGCTAGCACACACAAGGGAGGCTCCATAGGACCCTGCAAGGGAAAGGAGCCACGCTAAAACAGAGGCGCCGCGTTCAGATTCTCAGCAGCTGCAAGTGCTGAGTTAGCAAACCGCTGCTAACTGCTGTGCTGCAAGTCAGCGCTCAGCACTGCTAACTTAGCACTCGCAGCAGAAGTGGATGCAGAGTGCTGATGTGACACAGAAGGTGGGGACAGAGCACCAGTGGCCATTTTAACTGTGGGCACACCTGGCAGTGCTGGAGAAAGGTGCCTGAACCCTGATGGAAGAAATCAATTCAGGGATCCAGCTGACTGCAGGAAACTTAAACTTTTAGCTCTGGTTTACATTCGCACGTCCAGGGAATGCTCGTTTGCGCACCGCGTTAGCCGTGCGGCTCCATTAATTTCAATGGAGTCACATCAAGGTGGTTCAATCACAGTTCAGTGTGGGAACTTACAATTTAATGTTTTGGTGGACGAGCACACCAAATATTCGTTGGAAAATGGTATTTATTAGCCAAAAATATTATCTTATGCCATTTTTGCTTAGCAATGTGCAGCCGAAGCGTTCATTGAAGCTGCTGCTGTGAACTGAAGTGCTGCAGAAGAGCTACTCAGCGCTTGGCTAAGGAACTGAACACGCCTGTGGTGTTTATGTTCAGCTGTGACCATTCAGCTTTTACACATCAATGAAAGAACACATGTATTCTGTCCACATGTGTTCGCACACAGAGGGCCAATTTACACTAGGCCGTCCCTTAAATTGGAGCATTTTTGTGGGCAGACTAATGCGATGGGACAGCTCTGGCGGTGTGCGGTGTATCACACACTGCCAGAGATTTACTGTTTACATTTTGTCTTTTTTTTGTCTAACTTTATTGGTAGTGTACAGGGGTGTGTTGCAGTACGGTGACCCGCGGTGGCATCCAGTGCCCTGCAGAAAAAAGCAGCATGTCAGCATTTTTCTGCAGCGCACTTTTTATTACACCCATGTTGTGGTGGAACAGGGCACATAGAAAACACATCATAACTTAGTAAGCAAACATGGTTTGGTAAGAGTCTTTACTATATTTACAGTTCTATCACATATACAGTTCCATGCCCAGAATTACTTGATACCATCTTAAAAGGCAAAATAGTAAAAATTAACTATATCATACCAGAAAAAAAAAGACCAAATAATATGTGATATAAGAAATTCTTTATGTCCAGCAAGATCACTTAGGGGCCCATTTATAACAGAAAGCGGATACCACTATCCACTCTTCATTATACACCTCGTGTAAGGTTATTTCACACCACGGCGTCCATTATACAGGCCAATTATAAAATGCAGACTGCGGTGTAGAGCCTTTGGTATGACACAGAGTTCTCTGCTTGATGCAGATGCCCCGAGAATAATTTGTCTCTTTGCTATCATCATTTTCATGGATGAATTGTGGGATGCTATTATTTGAAATAAATAAAAGTGTCAAAAAAATGTATTTGTGGTGTCTGGTCATTTCCAGTGTCTGTATGTACATGTGTGCACGTGTTGGGTCTGATTTTAAGGCGTCATGACAGGTAGTTTATTGAGGAGCCTCTTTGTTGTACTTTTGTGGTACCTCAAAGCAGATCTTCACCCTCCCCACTTTACCTCTTTGTCCTCCTACCCCCTCTTCCCTTATAATTGGACATTTAAATCCCCCTCCCCCAATACCTTTTTCCCTAGGGACCATAAAGCACCTATATCCCAGGAGGCTTCTAGGGCGCATGTGCATCATCAGGGGGGTTCTCTCTTGCTCATTCTTTCAGCAGGCTGTTAGAACCCAGAAGAGACAGCCTGCCCCCCGATGACATCAGTAAAGAAGATGGAGGCGCAGGAGCCAGCACGCAACTGCTGTTGAGTTGATTGCAGTAGGACAATACAGGATGAGTGAGTATGAAATTTCAGGATAAACCAGCAAACAGTGGGAGTGTACATAAAAATAACCGGGGGGTTGTTGAGTTTTCTCTTTAAGTTATTCTTCTTTAAATTGTTGAGATAACAAGCATTACAAGGCTGATATCGGGGATATCTATATAGTAAATTGGCGCAAGCACCCACATTCATAAAAGAATATATTTATTAGGGAGATTGATGTTTGGCTGCAGAATTATAAATACCTATAGGTTAACACTAAACTTTTTTTTCTTTAGCTTTGGATAGAGTGTGGAAGGGTTAGAAGAATTAGAGGTGCACCGAAATGAAATTTCTAAAAACGAAACCGAAAATAGAAACATGTAAGGCCGAAAGTGAAAAAAAATCTAACCTTTTAAAATATTTTTTTACACTTTTACATTTTTTTATATTTATTTATTTTTATTAAATATTTGTTTACGTTACTTTTAAGGGCTTAAGGGAAATATTGGGGGTCTAAACAGACCCCTGATATTTCTCTTTTAAAATAGAAAAAGAGATTGAGGACACGGAGTCCTCAATCTCTTTTTCTGCAGCCCCTGTTATCAATGAACAGGGAGCCTGTATACTGAGTGTTCCTATTCATAATAGGGAGATAGTATGTTTACCATGGACAAAAAAGGAACAAGCGCACTACCCAGAAGTACAAATTTGGCTGGAGAGAACGTATAGAACAGGGATGTGGCAACAGTGTGCAAGCTCTTAAAAACAGGGAGAGGGACCCTGTGGTAGCAAAGAGTGACGGTGTGTGTGTGTTAAGAGCGCTACTACCGTTTGAATGTATAAAAAATCATCAAATATAACAGTAATGTCTCACACTTATAGTGACCTGAATGAAATAATGACTCACATTTAGAGTGTCCTGGGGAGCCCTGGAGGCGGTCAGGTGGAGCCGTTTGTGAAGTTTGATGGTTGGTCACAATGGGCAGATGTGACTGAAACAATTAGGGTTTCACACCAGGCTGGGGGTGGCATCAGGGAGATGTGTAGGAAGTTAGCCTGGAGGTGATGGTGAGAAAAATGTAGAAGACCGTAGGGAGACAGCTGGCCAGGCTGAATCCTGTCGGCTGTGCACGAGAAGCCGCTCTGTGGCGGTGCTGTCACTGTCAGATAGCAGTGGCGGTAGGAGCGGGTCCAGTCGGCACGTGAGTCCGTCAGGCTAGGTGGTGAGGGGTATAGAACAGTAGTCAGCTACGCGTTTCGAGGCAATGCCTCTTTGTCAAGCTCAGGTGAAAGTGGAAGGCTACGCGTTTCGAGGCAATGCCTCTTTGTCAAGGCTTTCACCTGAGCTTGACAAAGAGGCATTGTCTCGAAACGCATAGCTGACTACTGTTCTATACCCCTCACCACCTAGCCTGACCGACTCACGTGCCGACTGGACCCGTTCCTACCGCCACTGCTATCTGACTGACAGCACCGCCACAGAGCGGCTTCTCGTGCACAGCCGACAGGATTCAGCCTGGCCAGCTGTCTCCCTACGGTCTTCAACATTTTTCTCACCATCACCTCCAGGCTAACTCCCTACACATCTCCCTAATGCCACCCCCAGCCTGGTGTGAAACCCTAATTGTTTCAGTCACATCTGCCCATTGTGACCAACCATCACAGAAACTTCACAAACGGCTCCACCTGACCGCCTCCAGGGCTCCCCAGGACACTCTAAATGTGAGTCATTATTTCATTCAGGTCACTATAAGTGTGAGACATTACTGTTATATTTGATGATTTTTTATACATTCAAACGGTAGTAGCGCTCTTAACACACACACCATCACAGTATGTTTACCATGTCCACAATCATGAATGAACAGGAAGTCATGTAGATCACTTCCCATTCATTCATAATTGGGGACACAGTAAGCATACTAGGTCCTCAATTATTTACAAGAAATCACTGATCACGGAGTGTTTGTACCCTCTCTCCTTCCTGACTCGCTGTCACAGGAGGCTGAGTGAGCAGTGCAGGGAGGAGAGCTCGGTCTCCTGTGACAGCTGTCTCCGCCCCCACACTGCCGCTCTCCTGATCTGTCGCAGGAGGCTGAGCGGGGTGGTGCGGGAGGAGAGCCCGGCCTCGTGACACGCCGGCCGCTCACATCACTCTCCTCCCTTGCACTGCTCGGC